AATGAAGAGCCAAGTAAACAACACTTGAAGCCCAGAGATACATTTGGAAGTGTAAGTATATACAGAATAAACAAAAGGTTTGGTCTGCAAGGCTTTTAACATGATGCTTGCAACTTAAATAATATATCCAGTTGCATACTCCTTTGATTTTGAACATATTTTAGAACTTTTCTGCACAACTGCTTTCACCATTATTACTTCTTTGTAATTTCCTAGTACAGGAAAACCTTATTTCATCCTTTTTTATGTCATTATCCTGTAGTTCTACTACTCCTAAAAGCAGAAAGTGATTTTTTGTTTTTGTTTTCATCTGTCTTTGTGCATATCTTCTGTTCACTTTTTTATCATCCACTCTCTAAAAAAATCATAATGGTTGATTGGTTCTCTTCATTAACACATAGCTAGGAGGATAAATGATTATTTGTAGGAAGATTCTATGAATTCCATTCATGTGTGAAAAAAGCAAAAATCTCAGAAAAAGAAAACCACTAGGACTACATGCACATGTTTTCTACTCCATTCATTTTTTGTTATATCTATTTCAATAGACTGGATTAAATTAGAAATTAGAAGGAAAATGGTGACACAGTCTACCAGACATCAGTAAATGAGCTGCTGAACGAGTCTAACTCATTACTAAAATTCATTTGTAAAAAAAATTGGCATGTACATAACAAAGTAAATATAGATTTGATATTTCATATCTATAATATGTATTTTTTTCCTTTAAGCAGACATTTATACTTGAAGCTTTAGATATGAGTGGTTGTTTTGAAATTAAAAGAACACTACAGCTATTCTAGTGGCATAAGCTGCATTCTTACCGTAAGGCAGCACAGAATTAGATCATATTGAAAAGCAATTACAGTGCTTTCAATAAAATGCAGCTTTATGACTAAGATGTTTGTGATTGAGATGCCTGTGAATCAAATGAACTTTTTAAACAGGTTTTATTAAGCAATGCTTGTATTTATGACTATTACCAAGCTAGTCTGGTTTGATGAACATATGTCACTTTTGAGAAACACTCCTTTTTTTTTTTTTTCTCTACTAAATCTGCCAAAAGTAGAAATCTTTTATGTGAAGTGATTTTTTTTTCACTTCTCAATTCAAATGAAACTTCTCAGTTGGGTGCATACAGACTACAAATGCTACTTCTTTGGAACCAACTGTTGGATCACATGAAACTCAGTGTGAAGCCTGCCAGTCCTTCAGCAGATACATACTGGAGTCAGGTAAATTTTGCCAGCATTTGTATTATACAGAGAGTAGAGCTCACTGTTTGGCTGCGATTGTAAGAGTATCGTGATTTTTGAAAACTTAAAACAACAAAAATTCGACAAAGTTTATTTTTTTTTTTTTTTTTCAATTTGGAGGCAAAAACATCAATAGATACTGTGCCTGTAAGTTGAAGATGTACAAGTTCAATTAGAAATATGGCTCACCCTTCTTTTCTTTTCTTTTTTTTTTAAAGGTAGGATACTTGATAACGTAGAGAGAAAGAAACACATTACTGTAGGTTGGAATGAATTTCCTTTTGCTAGGAAAATTTTGATTGAGGAAGAGTCATATAAAAGACATGTTCTTGTCAAACTCAGAGCAATCTCAGTCCTGTGGGCTACATAGAAAGCAGTATGGAAAGAACACGATGGTTTTATATGCACTGATAATTGATGAATCTGGAATACACAGTGGTCTTTTTACTGATCGTATTTTTTTTTTTCCTGAAAGAAGACAGCATCTGGCTTCTTGGCAATTTCTCTCTTTTGTCAAACTAAAATGTAGAAATTTTGGCAATAACCCCAGACCCCTGGCATCAAGAGATATCTCTTTATCTTATGGCAATCAAATGAAGTGGTTGCCCATCACTGCCTCCTGGCCTTTCAAAGCACACATCCTACAGAGGTTTAGTCAAGTAATGAGAGACTTAACACACAGGAAGGCCACAACTTACTCCAGAGCTTTAGCAATATCACTGACCCGGCTGTAGCTACAGGGGCATGTGGCAGAAAGGCACCCACCCAGTAACACCTCCTTGAGGAGCAGCTCTGCTTTTGTACAGGCAGTGGAGTAAGTTCTGTCCTTGCTCCTTCCTTTCTTACCAATGCCAAAAGCTGGCACTGGTGTGCAGGACCGAAGAGGGCTGGGTGGGACAAAGCTGCAAAACGCAGCCCCGAAGCTGCTCCCCACGCACTGCAGAAACTGGTTTTGGTGTGGGAACAAGGGAAGGAGGAGACTGAACTGAAACTCTGCACACACGGTATGGTTTCTTTGTAGCCTGCAAGGTAATGGTAAGAAATTTTAAAAGCTACTTTTTTCGGTACTGAGGGAGCACTTCACAGCAGTGCAAGGGACTAAGCAGCATGGGAGGAAACCGTTTCTGAGATGGCTCAATACCATGTTCAGTGGTCTTTTCTGTTGTTGTTTCTTTTCTGGGCAGTATGTTCCTGCTTGTGGAGACTTCTACAGCTCATGTTTCCAGTTAGGTTCAGGGTAAAGCGTATTGTCATATAATTAATAATTGTCCTGTAAAACCTGGATTCATTCTCATTCCGTGTACCTCCTGTTAAATTCTGACCAGAAGGCTTGGTAACTGTAATTCAGGTTCCTAGGTCGTAGCTATGTGAGTACAATACAAGATCTAATCTTATCAGAAGGCAGTGTCTCTCTGTGAAAATACTGTGTCATGTTATACTCCATATTCATCTCCCAATGACGTTTCAGTTGAATGTCTGTAGTAGTGAGGAGCTGATAAGCTTATTTCATAGACCATATTTATCAGTAATTTTTTGAAAATTAATGAAAACGAGATTTGCTACAGAATCTTACAATAAGGGGATTTAGTAGTGACTGCAAAATTCCACAGAAGGGCATATTTCAGTGTCTAGGTTGCTTCTTTGCAGACATAAAGAGGTCTCTAGATGTCCTCCTAATAGAACCATCCAAGAAAACATTAGTTATCTGACTTCTCCTTATCTTTTCCTTCCTGCCTTCACTTCAGGTTTCACTATCAGACTCTGAACTGTGACCATGAGGCATCTTCCCTCTCCAAATATTGAATTGTTACCACCAGGCCACATTTGCAGCATATTGCCTCAGGCTATTGCACTTTTTAAACTTTAAGTACACATTTTAAATTAAAACAGTGTGATAGTGCCTTTTTTTTTAGAGACCTCTTTTCAAATTAAAGCTGAACTTCTTCAGAAACTGATGAACAGTTATTGCTAATCCCTTCTGGCTTGCACAGTAGTGAACTAAAATGCAGCATTTCTGAAACAGCAGAACTGGAAGGAACTGCTATGATATCTGATGCAATGGCTGAAATATGCCAATCAGCAGCCCGTTAGACAAAAAGAGCTTTCTTTCTAACCTATTTTACACCTCATCATAGTACAACCTAGAATATAATTTTAAACAGAAAACCACTAACACATACAACTTAAGTCACAGCACTTATATTGATATTGGCTATTACAAAATATCTATAGTCTAGTTACCTTGGGATAAGCAGAGAATAATTGACTTTCCAATGTATAACAAGATCTTGGTTATTGTAAGCCTAACTGCTTATAAACATTCCTAAGAAAAAACAACAAAACTTGGGGCATATCACAAACATAAATACCCCACTGCTAGTAAAATCAGTTTAAAAAACTATTACAGATGTTTCCTCATTTCCACAAAGAGAAAAATTTGAAAACACCCATTTCCCTCCCCACTTCAGTCAGCATGTGCTACCTAAAAATAGCTTAATATATCAAAAAGATGCAGGAAACATTTTGTAAGGTTAACATCACTGATTCCCAAAACAAAAAAATCTTGTGTTGTCGGATTCAAGATGAAACGGAAGACATACATACCCCAACCAGTTTTAAATTAGGTAGTTCAGAGAGCAGCAGGGGTACAACTGGTGCAACATGGAGCTCAGCACAGTTTAATTTTCCTCACTTTCTATGACTGTAATGTGGACATCCTTACGTCGTTTTCATAGGTACGAACACGCTTCAGGATAATGCCCTAGCTGAACCCATCCCTTCCAATGCATTCCTGCAATACAATACTTAAAAAGAAACAAAACAAAACAAAAGAACAACAAAAAACACCAGAAATCAAATTTAGATTTATCAGATTATATTTAATCTCTCTTTGAAACAGAAAGGAAGTATTAGTTCTATTAAAAATAGAACTTATTAAACTTGCTGTCAACTTTCAGCAAGCCTCAGTCAGCTTGGGCTAAGCATGCTTATTTGTACTAACCCAGAATGTCCTTTCCTAACATTTCCTGACAACCCATTTTGCAACACTCTTACCTATTACTACATAATAGATATGAAATATCCCCAAACACAGGGACAGCACTGCCCATACTACTAAATCTGGCACAAGCTGAGCAGGAGCACCATGGAGCCTGAGTATTTATGGTATTTAATCCATCGGTCAGATAAATGGTCCATGAAAAAGAAGGAGTTGACTCTAATGTTTGTGAAATGCAGCACTCAGCAACAAACCGAATTTGTAGCTTTCATAGAACAACATATGGTTATCATCTGCTCTGGGAAAAGAGTATCTTTGTTGCAAATAAACCAACTGATGAAAGAGTAGTGGAATTCCAATATCTCTTGGATATGTAACATATATATAAATAACATGCAGATGCTCAGAAGAGAGGAGAAGTAATAACATAGAGACCTCAAAAACCTGGCAATCACATCATTTCTCCAAGGATCTCTTCTTTCCACCTAATACTAATTCATGCACGTTGTAAGATTTTAAAGTCTCGGCAGTCTCTCCTCCCAACCTTATCAGCTATTTTCTTCTATAGACTACAGTATGTTTGGATAAAACTACCCCTTATAGCTTCTTCTGGGAGTAAGGTCATCTAAATAATTCCAGGAACACCTCTTGACCAAGAGCTAGGTAGAAGACTCTGCTGCCTTTTTAGGTGTGCGTTTCTCCCCTTACCTCATCTTAATCTTTATGTACTTTTTCATTTTTAGAAGATGTACAAGGAGGATCTCAGGAGCATGACTGAAGAGAATATAACCGGCAATGCATCCTTCTCTGCCTTCCCTCACACCAGTACTGCAAGGGCCATATTGATTACAGCCTACTCAGTCGCATTTGCTGGAGGTGGGATTGGATCCGTCGCAATGTCATTTGTGCTAGTCAAGATGAACACTCTGTCTGTGACCACTACAGCAATTATTAACCTGGTTGTGGTGCATGGTCTTCTTCTCCTGACCGTGCCCTTCCGGTTGCACTACTACATCAACAAAGAGTGGATTTTTAAGATGCCATTTTGTAAAATAGTGAGTGCAATGGTGCATATCCACATGCTCCTGACTTTCCTATTCTACGTGATCACGCTGGTGATTCGGTGGCTTGTATTCTTTCAATGGAAGGATAAGGTGGAGTTTTACAGGAAGCTGCATGCTATAGCAGCAAGTGCTACCGTGTGGGTTGTGGTCATCATCTTTTTGGTGCCTGTCTTCTGTGTTGAATATGGACGCTCAGGGACATACAATGAGAAAACATGCTTTAAGTTCCACAAAGAGCTGCAACAGGATAGTGTGAAAGGCCTGAACTATACCATAATTGTGGCTATAGCCTGCATTACTTGTGTCCTCCTGGGTTTGCAGATTTTCATTCTGGTCAAGGTGGCGAGAAAATTTTCCTTCTCCCTATGGTCACATCAAGAGTTCTTGGCTCAGGTGAAAAACCTAATTTTCATCTGTGTTATCATAATTTGTTTCCTTCCCTATCACCTCTTTAGGGTCTACTATATACAGCATGTGAATGACTATAACCAGTTAGAAAGCTACAATGAAATATTTTTGAGTCTGACCTCCCTCAGCTGTCTAGACTTGTTGTCATTTGTGCTGAGCGGAAGCCGTCTCTTTAAGCAAAAGGTTGCTGTGCTAGCCAGCAGGTTGACTTGCTGTTAGCTGTTAGCTTCACCTAGGTGTAGCATTCACCAACCCGACAGAACATGGTGCAGCACAGAGGGAGAGCAAACCCAGTCCTAAATAAAAGCTGTATGCCAGAAACGGCATAATACACTAGCACAGCCTCTGCCTGCCTATTCACCAAAATAATCTTCGCAACCCACCTCTGTACCCTGTGCCACATGCTCTAGGTGTCCCTGCTTGAGCAGGGGGGTTGGACTAGATGACCTCTAGAGGTCCCTTCCAACCTCAACCATTCTGTGATTCTGTGATAATGAGACTAACTCTCTTCATTATCTCAACTGGTGAACCGGTAGGATAATTCTTGGATTTTGTCAGATAATTATCTCACAAGCTCTAGATATAATTGGAGGAGAGGCAGTTTTAAGAGGGAGGAGAATATATGGACTCTTCTAACTTACTCTTTTCGAATCATCACTTGTGAAGTCAAAGGCACTAAAAGAAAGCTGAAAAGAATTTGCAAATAAAAGGTATGCATAAGGTATGAGTTTTTGAAATGCAAATTTCTATATAATGTCCTATATTTATTTCTTATTCACAACAAATAAAACATTGGCCAAACTATTGTTCCTCCTGAATAGATCTGTTCTTCCACTGGAATGTCAGGTGTAACTATCTAGATTATTTGAACAATTTGATCAACTCATTAAAAGCAAGGAGGCGATATATATGTATTTATTGAAAGAGATCTTGAAATCTCCTTTCAAAGATGATATCATTACAGGAAAAAAGAATTTTGTTTCTCCTTCCCATATTGTGAAAATGCATCCTACTGTAAAGTTACATGTCACTACTGCAATGAACATTGTGAATTAAAATCGAAAGATTGTGTTATTATTTACAGAATTCTTTAATTACAAAAAAAAATACATTTAATTAACTGAAAATAATTTTATCTGGGTCATTCATACAGCAGTTATTTTCTGTTTTGAAATCAAATATATTTAGGTCTCCTAGGTAACACCGAAGCTCTCCTGCTTTTGTGAAATTCTTAACTTTTTAACTTATTACTCACAGTGTTTTTAGCTTAAAAACTGTTCTAGAAAAGTCCTGTACTAGCAGCAGAAGATAAAATGTTACTGCTTGGATTAGGGAGATGGAAAAAGTTAATGAGTCTGGTGTAGCTAAAAAGTCTATTAGATAGACATTGTGAATATGGGATATTTGGAAGTTAAATGAATTGCACTTGACGAAAAACCTCAGCAAAACAGTTCTGTGCAAGACATTCATGCATTCAGAGATATACTATTTTATGCCTATTCCAAAAGTGTATGTAAGTATCTAACTGCTATGACCAAGGCTAATGATGGTTATTTTTTTCCTTCTTTTTGCCATCTGAAGCAAGATCATTTTTCATTAGGAGTCAGTCAAATATTATTTTCAAGTTTGGACACAGAGTTTACCCGGTCATTTAATTCCCAGTCAAAGTCTCTCCTGATGCTGTTAAATGCCAGCATTTCTTGTTCCTGAATTCTTTCCATTTCTTTTAACTTCGCCTTCAACATCTCTTGCTCAGACTGCTATCAAATAACAATTTGCTGATTTTGCTGTTACCATACAATCTTCCTGCTATGCTTATTGATTTCATTCTTGCTATAGGGTGGTGTCCAAGATGCTTCAGTATCTAACTTCAACCATATTTTTTTCTATTTGCATTCTGTGCTTTCTGTGTTGTCTTCCTTCCTGTTGAGAGCTCCCTCCCCACCTTATTATCTTTCAGCAGGTCTGATTAAAAGAGAATATTTGCAGGCCAGTGCCTGAGTAGTCCTACGTAACACCTGAAGTTTGATATCACAGAAGTTCATAAATCAGGGAGGTACTTATATCACCCTCCCCTGGGAGGAAAAAAAAATCACAGCAAGAGCTGTTAAGATAAAAATGTGAATGACTGCAATGTGTGACCAGGACTCTCAAACTATCTGATTGTTTTTTGCCCAAAAGGGATTGTATTAAAGAAGGTGACCATCACCCAGATTAAATAGTAATCAATGAATTATATACATTTTTAAAACAAAGATGGTGTTAGCTTGACTGTATAAGGACTGCCAGTTAGTTATGTGCCATTAATAATGGCAATAAACTGCTTTCATCCCAATTTGGTTTAAGCTACATGAGCTAAGCAGCTTTTCCCTGTGACAGAAAAGATGGAAAATCACATTCTAAACAACATGAACAGATGGCAAGAACATATCTGATTCTTCCGATAGCAATGATTTTAGTGGACAAAAATGCTTTGTGTGTGCTCTGTAGGCATTACAAACCTTTATAACACTATATGATAAGACTTTTGCTGTAATATAGATGTTAACAATCCAAAGCGCTTCCTGAAGATGTACATAAAACTGAAGAGTGTTTTGTGTTTAACTTGGTAAAAATTCAAAAAATAAAGTGTATAATCACAAATGGTACAACTGTACACTTGTATATAGCTTATATGTAGCTTAAATAAACTTGTTCATGTATTTGGTAAAAAAAAAAAAAACACAAGTAGCTTAATTCTTGTAGAAATATGTATATTAACAAATTCCCACACCGCAGCATTAAAAATAAATCAGCCTGTATTTTCTACAAATCAAACTTTACTCTTGATGCTGATGAGTGGAATTAGCAGTGGGGGTGGGGCGCTAATTCCACACTTCAGGTTGGTTTCACCAGTTGGCGCCAAGTGATGGTTCTTACAGAGCCTCCTAAACCCAACTTCCACGTGCTGCTCCTCTGGCCTCAGGACTGCTCCTGTCTGGCAGAGGGAGCCTCGCTCCTCATGGCACATGTGGCCTCAGCCTGGGCTCCCTCCAGCAGGACCTGCAGGGGCACGTGGCACAGAGGGTCACAGAGGGGCACAGAAATGGCACCTTCAACCGACAGGCCCCCCGGGAGCCGCTTCCCGCTCAAGCCTTCCCTCGTTTTGCCTCTCATGAGCTTCATGAGGGAAGCCAGGGCCGGGGAGCTCGCAGGCCATGAGGTGATTTGGAGGCTTTGAGAGAAAACTGTGAGAGTCGGAGAGCGGCAGGCAGGAGAGAGACGCACATTACAAGCCTGCCAGAGGGCTGCCGGTTTGCTGTGAGGAGCTCTGCTTTTGACTAAATTGGGAGCTGTCTGGCACTGCGCTCCCCGTCACATCTCTACGCTTTCCTCAGCCAAGGTGCATTTGCTTCCCTTCACCAGGCCAGCCCGGCTGTTTTCCCTGTCAGGTCCAGCTGACTTCCTGAGCTCTGCCCTCCCTCAGACCCAGGGCTCAGCACCTCTGCAGCTCTCCTGCTGCTGCTTCCTCACCTTTCCCTGCTCCTCCTGGGCACTCTTCCAGCTGCGCTAGCTGGCTCACCATTCAGGTTTTTCAGCTGGCCTGGAAAGCTGAGGAGGGAAGGGACAGCCTGTCAGGCAGTGCTGGAGAGGGAAAGGCCAAAGCAGCACTTGGAATGTAGCCGAGCAGTGGTCTGGGAACGGCAGTCAATGAAGCAAGGAGTTGGGAATACTTGTTACCATCATGTGCTTGGTCAGAGGCACCACAGGCTTAAAGTAGACACTGTTTTTGCTGTCATTTGATCATAGAGGAGAGATATTGATTAAAAACAACCATGTGAGGAGAAAATGGCTGTATTACAGCCTGACCACGAGAGGATGAGCTCTGGCAAAGGGCGAGTTTTTATAGCTGCACCTACATTTAGTTATGCATCACTCATGGGTGATTCAGATTCCCCTGACTCTTATGACTCTCCAACAGAATTGTGTCAGGTCCAGGCATAGAGCTGGAAAGAGTAACACACGACTAATTGGTGGTGCATCTGTCAGTTCCCCAGGCAAACCCATTCATAGAGGGGCTATGGTCAGAAATGACAACACATCCAAAGAGCATAAAGAAAAGGTAGGATTTTAGCAGTGGCAGTGAATGGAACCTTTTCATTTCTGGGCTGTACTAATGCCAGTCAAGCTATGCCCCGTAGTTACTTTAGTTTGCTTCAAAAATATAATAACACCTTCAAATTCTCCATCAGAACATGGGAAGCAAGATTCTGACTCCTGTCTTTTTCTTCTGTAAGAGAAGAGTACTCAAGAAGAAGGCCTATAGATTCTAATCTGTTAAACAGAAACACAAGATCCTGCCTGTTGTTGAGGTAGAAGGCATGTATAAGTCGTAGCACCATGGTCTATATCAGAGTCAAAGGCACATGAATAAGAAATCAGATTGTCCATGGTCTGTCTGATGCTTTTCCTCAACAGATGGGAGATCCCATAACTTCACTAGATAGGTGTTACAAATCACAAGAGAAAGTAAGAAAAGGTGACATAGATCATATCTGCAGCCAAAAAAAAAAATCCTCTTGGCAGAAACCTGGCATCATATCCTTGGAGCATGGGAGAGCCTCACTGAGCCAGAGCTGAATGCAAAGACAAATAAGATGAACTCCAAATACACAGAGACGAAACTTCAACCTGATTTTCTTTCTTCTGGTGCAGTCCTCATCTTTTTCTATAGAAGGAGCACTTGCAGCAGTATCTTCTGCTCAGCATGGGAAATATGTTGATGCATAGGAAACTGGTATCACAAACTTTCTCTTAATGAAAAACAATTTGCAAGTTAAACACAACTTGCAAAAGTAAAACTGTCTGCGCAGTAAAATGGCGCTCAGAAGACTAAAACTTCAAGGGCATTCAACCTGTATGTACTGTGTTACTATGCTAGATTTTGTAAAGGGATTGGAAATTTTCATTTTTTTTTCATGAAATGAATATTTTTATCACATAAAATGACTGAAGATTTTATGCACGCTGCAAGACAATGGCCTTTTATTATGCCATTGGACTGCATACTTTATTTGGTCATCATCTGAGATGCCAACTGGTTTCTAGCATTTCATAAAATGTCTGTTACTATTGTAGTCAGGAAGGTCAGGTGTTTTCAGCTCAATGGAACAAAAAAAACCCAAAATAGTTGCAAATTTTACAAAGCAGAGTTGACATCTCAAGAGTGTCTGTTACAC